TTTATATTCTTAAGGGAATAGGATAGGCCGATATAGGTTACTATTTACCAAAACCAAAATTGTAAATTTGGCTTGTAAGACAGATCTTGGTATTTTGGGGGGATTTGTTATTTGAACCAGTAAGCTATCATCCTATAAGTCGATTGTGACAAGTTTGATTACCCACTACCGACTACCTGAAGAGTTGCTGGGATTATACATGCTCTTTTTAAATGAAGATATAAAGTATGTTATTGCTAGTATACCATCAAAATGTTATCAAATTTTCCAATCTAGTTTAAATAGGAAACTGTCACTCAGTGTCAAAACTATTATCATATAGAATGTTGTCACGTGACGGCAGGTGCGACGTGAATTATATATTATAAATTCGAGTAATAATTGACCGTCAACACAACATGTTACAATTTTTCAGTGTTTTTTTTAAATCAAATCCCCGCAAGGCATACGACTCGAATGCATGTATAGGGTTAAAGATGCAGCACTTGGTTCTTGAAGGTAGTTACCGTTGCCATGAGATACCCCTTCTAAATGATGCTGATGCTTTGCATTTAGTTTTCTGATCCAGATTAGAACCGACTGAAATACCTTGTGAGGGAAGATTTGCAACGACAGTGACGTTAATTTGTTCTTTCCATTTTCAGTTGTTAATGACATGCAAGTTCTGTAACACACTTATGTTCAAATTATTGTCCCATCCATACGACAAGACGTTTTCTCTTTCGCCAGTTTCTCCTACCTACATTTTATAAGAGAAAATACGTTCAAACCTTCGAAGGTAATACCAGATCTATAATGGAATGGAAGATTGGGCTTCTAGGTTAGCGAGCAAGCGTCTAAAACATCCAATTCACACTGATTCGGACATTGAATGTTGAATTTTGACTTTCGTTCGCTATTATACCATAGTGTTGGGCATATCTTGTCTAGCATCATCGCCAAGCTTTCCATTATTGCAGCAATGCCTAATAGTCTAGCCTTAAAAAATCTCAAACACGTTCCCTTTCAGATGTCATCACCAAGAACGGTTGTAGATTTTCACTAGACTGACACTGATACTTGCTCAAATGGTTGTTGACGGTTTGTATGAAACCCTATAGCTTGTGTATAAAATGAAAATTGTTGAAAAAAGAGTTCGGAGCCAAGATGACATTATTACTATTATTCTAGTCGACGGTGTTTGTTATTTTAGGCGTCGAATAGATAACGGTCAGGTAGCCTAGAAAAAATATCCCCCGAAAACACCTGCCCCTAGTGTATCACGTGACAGCTGATTTCAAATGTACTGCAAAAAAGAGAATAATAATGGTATAGAAAACTCCTGCATAGATCAAGTTGAAAGGTTATGTGAAGATTTTTATATTTGCATCTATTTCAACTTAACCCGTAGGGAACTTCCTGTATAAACTTTACTCCGGGTAATAAATTATAGTAGAGTCGAGAAATTACATTTTTACTTTTCTGGCCCTGAATATGGACTGAATGGAAACTTATAATGTTGCTTAACGGTAGCAACAGCTTACTATTTTCTCTTTTCCAACTATATTTAATGTGCAAAAGTATATAATAAAATTTATTAGAAACTGAAAATTTGAATGAATGTTTTTATCAAATTTCTTATGAATTTGTTATGATCTATAACAACGAAAAACAGAGAAAACGTGTTATACGCATCAACTGTACCATAAGCAATTTTTAATACAATATTTTATTTTGGTGAACTGATTTTAACCTTGAGTATTTGATATTGGACTAGCTATGTCATTGAAATAAAATAGACATTGTTTCAGTATATCCTGACGCTGTTAAGGCAATTCATAGACAATATACCAGATTTCAATTGAGGGACTTCTAAACTTATCTTTAACTTCTGGGGTTTGTGTTCATTCAAATACCGTCACTTTCTCGACTATAGTGTCACTGAAATAGGTGGAAATTTAGAACATACTAGTCAATATGTAAATGATGCAGACTTTGTATTTGTATTGCCAAACTTGTGGGTCTTATTGTTGACACAACAAGCGACCTGATCTCTGCTAAAACCAGCCCCCGACATTAAATGATTTATGATCAGGTTTGAAGTAGTCCAGGCTAATAATCTTTATGAATGGATCGTATATAAATACTGTTAAAGAGGGTGGCCTTGAAGAATACGCATAAATAGGGTTAAAGCATAGTCTAGAAGAAATTGATGGGCGTGTCAATGAGCGAGGGACGGCCCCTTACGTTCAAGTCAATGAAGATAGTATATTGTATCGGCACACCTGATGTTTGCGGTTTTCTTACACCTGTGTAGAGATTTAAGGGAAGTATAAAGACCCTAGAAAATTTATTGCTCGACAATATCGACTGACCTTTAAACGCGTTGTATACACACTGAAATTTAAATTAGGTCAACTGAATTTGCATTTTAAAAAATTCTATGAAAGACAATTTAATGAGAAACATTTTACTCTTTTAGGATTCAGTAAAATAAAATAATTAAGCTCATATAATAATCCTATACCATATTTAAAGTGATACTACGTCTTAGAATGAACATAATATTTAAGGATTTTAAACTTGGCCAACAAGAGAATATATTCATCAATAGATATACCTGGTGTCATATATATGATAACATAAAATCCAAAAAACTTAGTAATTATCCATAAATATGCAACTAACTATTGAAAAACGCTTAATAATAAGATTAATACAATGTGCCTGACAGAGAATCTGATGTTTGGAAATCGTGAGAAATGAACCAAGTTATGAAAGCATTTGGTATTTGTTTTAAAATATGTACAGAGAAAAATGTTGTTCATTAAATGTTTACAACAATTGACTAAAACCAAGAAGGACAGCCATCTAGGATATCATGCTTTATTTTTTTTACAATTGGGTTGACCTGTATATTATATAGTGTAATAAAATCCTATTCGTTATTGAAATATAAAAACTTGCTTACAGAACAATATGTAGTAAACAAAAAAAACTGGAAATTCACAGGAAGTGCTTTACCAATAATAAATTTGAAACACTAAGAGTAACATTGTCATGTTTTCAGAGAAAAGGTTATTGAAAAAGAAATCTGTTATTTACGAGGGTGAATTAATGCATGTTTTAATGGCTAGGTGGGAAAAAAAGAACACGGTTTGCACTGGTATGCTTGTAATGACAGCTGACAGACAACGGTTATTCGCACCTTAATTAAATGTCCAACTGCTAAGGGATGTAACGTTCATAACTTGTACAGATTTTTTTTTACATAAAAGGTCTTTTAACCAAATATAAAACCAAAATATTTACAGAAATACAAAAGGCTGAGATCCCACGCGCAAGATGTCACCGGTTCATGGATTCTTTCAACTCAAGTGTAGACTGCTAAGGGGTGGAAAGGTTCAAATCTCGATTTGAGTAGCGAAGGTGCTGAAACTTGCGGACTTTCTAGGGGCTGTTCTGACTGTGTTTTTTCAGATTGAATCTCAATATCACACGAAACCCCCTCCGTAAAAAAACAAGCCAGACTTTTAAAAGTCGTTCGTTTGAATTGAGATTATTTATGAATGAAATGAATAGAAAAACTAAACTTATGACAAGCATGGTAATTAGATATTGTCAAACTAACATTGACCGTTGACATCCAGCTTTGCTTTGGTCATAATAATAATATGTATAGTTGTATAGCTCTATAGATAGGTAACCCTTGTGTCATTCATTGTCAACTTGTCAAAGTCTAACATTTATTGTCAAATATTGTTATATATACCATTTAATAAGTTGTTATATATCAATAATATTAGCATACAATATGTATCCTAGAGCTGGTTCGAATCAGGATTTTATAGGGCAGATATGTAGGATACATACAAAAGTGTGCTAGGGTTAGATGCAACAAAATTATAATTGCAAGTTCGAACCAACGGAATCATATTTTCTCAATAATAATTTATCTCAAAGAATCTAAGAACACTTGGTGAATCAGATATTGGTAAAAACAGTTTTATGAAAAAGTTTCCTTTGCTAATTGTTTCGTCGTTTCGAAATCCAACTTTCATTTCCATGCTTATACTGGTTGGTAGATGACGAGTTAACGTCTGTTTCCTGCTGAAGATTATACATCGAGAAATGTTAAGATGGTTGCCCTGAAAGTTGGTATTAATGGGATGGTTCCGTATTGTTTATAAATTCGGTGATTGAGGAATCTTCTGGTCTAATTGCGTGGCCTTGAAACTCGGCCCTTGGCAATGTTTCGTTACTCGGTCTTTTTCATTCTTCCAAAAATTCGTTGTGATCACGGTAATTCTTGCCTCGGTAGACAAGATATCTTAGCCGCTGGTGTACAGGGACAAGAATTGGTGCACATTACAGCTATTACGTAGCTTTAGGCCCTACATAGGGTGCCCGTTCAACTTGTTCACCGAGTGTGTGATATTTCTAAGGATTTCAATGCAAAGGATTCGTAATTCTTCACCTTTTATACTAGAAATGAATACCCTACACCAAGTACCGCAAAACGTTTAGCTTAGTAAATATGAAAGTCGTGAATAGGGCGAAATATATTGGCTATGTGTGAAAAGGTCAACTCCTCATACGGAGCTATTCGAGTAGGCTAAAGTTAACGATGGTCCCTTCTTTTTATTGATCAGAGGTGATGAGTTAACCATGATGAACCAAGCATGAGCAAAATTATTCTCTTATGAATTATGAAGTAGGCTACTTTTGATAATCAGCCCTGACATTTAGGTCTATGGTTAGGTTGATTTCATATCTGCTCTCTATTTCATCCTATGGTGGTTACCAGGAGTGGTGCAAGTAGTTAGATGAGAACTTGGACATTGCTTCATGGTGATTCAAGATGAGATTTCATCAAAGTGTGAAAGAATGTCCAAATAAGTAGCTATTCATGGTCAAAGGGGGATAATCCTATTTTAAAATGTTTTAAAAGATGCCGGAAGTAGAATGAGTCATTTACTTCGCGCCACGCAGTGCATGCTGGTTGTCGTTGAGAAAGCAAAATGGCGGATGCAGAAGAACAAGAACCAACTCCAGCAAAACTAGACGTTTTGAAGAAGTACAAAGCTGCTGGAGGCATTGTCAAAAGTAAGACATTAAAGAAAAAGTCACTGTCCGTCGAAATATCAAGTTGTCGTTGACAATAGAATGATTGAAAATCGTTGATCAAAGTGCCAAAAGTTTCAATCTGGATGCCATGCGGTCGCCATGCTGTTTACAAATTGAAACTTCCAAGTATTACTCATGCAGATGTATTGAAATGTATCGTTTTTATATTCTGTAAAACAAGAGCTGTGTCTCTTTTTAGTAATCAGTACTCGTTTTTCAACTCAGACATTTTATCTACCTTTGATCGTTCTCTTGAGTTTTTATTTTTTTCTATATTTTAGCTGTGTTTGCTGAAATTATTCAGAAAGTGAAGGCTGGGGGTTCAGTCCATGAAATATGTGGTTATGGTAATAATCGTATATTGGAAGAAACTGGGAAAATTTACAAGAAAGAAAAATCAATCAAAAAGGGTGAGAAATCTTTCTGGTGTTTTCAGCTTTAGAAGTGTCAAAAGTTTTGACAGGCTTGTGAAAACATCTGTTGTCAAGTTGTTTTTGTATCAGATTTAGTGAGTGACCTGGTGACAAAGCATGGTCAGTTATATTGGACATGAAATTCATAAACCTTTGTCATCGAATAGTGAATATAATTTCTTAACTGTATTAGAAGTTTATGGACCTGTAACCTTCTATAAACAGACTCTATTCATACATCAATTATATGCGAAATAGGACATAACTTATCACCAACCAACCAGCAATTAAAAATAATACCTACCTTGTAGTTGTGAAGGGAGTGTCTGATGGCACATTCATGAATGACATTGGTCCATTAGATGGACAACGATGCATGCATGCTTTTTTCATTACTAATTGATTAATTTGATCTGTTTCAGGTATAGCATTTCCAACATGTCTATCAGTGAATAATTGTATCTGTCACTTCAGTCCTTTAAAAACAGATCCTGATGTCACTTTACAAGATGGTGATATGGTTAAAGTGTAAGTTTTATTTTACACTCAGTTATTTGACAAGGATTCATCCCATTATGCCCTTACATACATAAGATGCTTACAAACTGGATTGGAACCAAAATTGTCTGATTAAATGAATTATGAAATATGTCACTTTGCATGATTGAAATGATTTGGATTAAAAAAAGGATTTACTAGAGTCATGCAGAAATAATGTGCTTAACTGTATGAGAAAGTTATTAATTATTTTTTTGTCTTTGTAGTGATCTTGGAGCTCAAATTGATGGTTACATAGCAGTAGCTGCTCATACTATTGTTGTTGGCGCCAGTCCTGTAAGTATTCTGAAATTTCGTGCCATTTCCTGAAAGATGCTTATCTTTCTTTCTCTTTGCCTTTAAAACCCCCATATTTGGTGTTGACATCTTGTTCTGCACCAGTATTAAAAAGTTGGCCTTTCAACATTTTATTTTATAAGCCAGTTACATGATTCAAGGTCTGTTACTAATCTATGAAGGGCAATTTTAACTTTTAGAATGATTCCATATGGTTTGTATACAGACTGATAATATACAATGTTATTTGTTTCTATCTTGTAGGAAAATAAAGTGAAAGGACGAAAGGCAGATGTAGTTTTGGCTGCGTATAATGCTGCCCAAGTTGCTCTTAGATTGGTCAAACCAGGAAATGAGGTAGGTTGGTAGTGTGAACCCGGCTTGCTTAAAGACTTGGGATAATAAGTTCAATTGTAAAACTATTTTATCAAATTGGGCAATGGAAGAATGACTTATGTAGTATAACTGTCAGATGATTGACAATCTTATGATTATTTTGTGAAATTCATGATATGTACAATTATGAATTTATGTTTTGTATTAGAAGGATTTAAAACTCTTTTTCTTGTCAGTGTCTAATTGGGGTTTAAATTGAAATTTTACTGTCTATATTTTTGGCTTTTGCAATTTGATTTTGAAATATTTGTTCCGTTTTAGAATTCAGTTGTAACAGAGGCCATACAGAAAGTAGCTGATTCTTTTGATTGTAAACCTATTGAAGGTAAATTAGAGTCCAGGAATAAAGGCTGGCATTTTAGAGAATATTTTGGTACTCAAAATGTTTTTGCCTTTTACTATGGATTCAAATATGTTATTGTTTTCATTGTCATGGTTTAAAAAATATTTTTTAACTGTAGTCTGTCTTGGTCCCTGTATGACTTGATGAAATTATCTGCTACAGTTTTAGATTTCATGTTCGATTGTTATGAACTGGATCGATGTACATATTTTTATGCTCCCATGACTCAAGTACAGCTTAAAAGGATAATTCATGTCCAACAATCTGAATCATAACATAGCTCTTAGGTTTGTCTGTGCATATTTTGATTTAAAGGCTATATTTTTTATGGAATTATTTTACTCTGTAGGTATGTTGTCTCACCAGTTAAGAAGAAATGTGATTGATGGTGAAAAAGCCTTTATTATTAATCCTTCAGATTTACAGAGGTAGGAAAACTTCATTTTAATAACAGATGAAAATATTCTTCGGAAATTTAAATGTGTAAACAGGATCAGATATTTGTTGTTTCTTGCCAGACATGTTTCAACTAGACTTTGTCTTCAGTGTGAATTTTGCTGAAATAGTTCAGCTGTAGGAAATAAAATAAATAAAATTCTCTTTTGATGCTAAATGATTACTGTCACAAGTGTTAATGTTGTATCATACACATATCAACACACTAATGATTTTCGGGGCAAACTCACGAATAAAGGTTGTTTCGATATATTAAATTGCTATATTTTGATTATTTTCAGTATTATGTGTGAACCCTCTTTTATCAATAGTGTTAGGTAAACATATGCTGTTGATTAAAACTTGAGTTTTCTTGATATTTCTGAATGTGTATTGAAATTTTGTGTTGATCTTTTATTTTATGCTATAAAATTGATTTTGTATGGTTGTTAATTTAGGGAATGTTTGAATTTATGTTTTTAGCTTTTGATTGTGATTTTTTTTATATTTTAGTTTTATATCTTATAAAAACATGGTTATTTTTTTCAACTTTTCTATGATCTGATTTTTTTTTTCAGAAAAGAATTAGAGAAGTGTACTTTTGAGGTGCACGAGGTTTATGGTATCGATGTTCTTGTGAGCTCAGGAAAAGGCAAGGTTGGTAGAGTATTGTCATAGGCTCCATTTCAAAAATATATCTTGCCATCTAGTTTTGCTCTTTTAGTGTTGAAATTGAAGGCTTAAAGGCACTAATTTTGCTGTCTTTCAGAAGATAGTGCTCAGTTAAATTAATTGCAGTGCAATCTAGACATACTACAATGTGATGGTGTTTTAACTTGAGTTTCTGTCAAAGCATTAAGAGAATTTATTATTTTAAAACTCGTATTGATTTCAGGGAAGAGATATGGACACAAGAACAACTGTGTATAAAAAACGTGAAAGTAGTTATCAGTTAAAAATGAGAACATCGCGACGTATGTACTATATTTTAGTCTTTTTGTATTATGATAATTTATGATCGTTTTTTTTCCTTTTTTTTTTTCAAATGCTACAAGATTCTTTATCCATCTTGGTATTAATGACTGTAAAGCAAATCTCTTAATCATCTGTTTGTACAAGTTTATCAATTTGAGTCCGCATTATACCTGGGTACAAATCTCCTTGCTTACGAAAAATCATATTAGCAATTGTTTGAATGAATTTTAATCTTGCTTTTAGAATTTTTACTAGAAGTGAATAAAAAATTTGGTTATCTTCCATTTTCTTTGAGGTAAGTTAAAAGTCTTGATATGTTCTGGAACTTTCTCAGAAACTCCCCTGAGACAAGTTCAGGACTTTAAGAAATGCAGTATTCTGATAGTGAAATAATATTTATGAGGGCTATAGCACTAAAATCATATCTGAGAATAGTTCCCTGCACTTTAATTGACTTCATAGTTCTTGTATCAGCCAATTCATGATAATCTCTTTACAGTCCTGAAGTATATCATTGTTTTATATTGTAGTTTATGTGAAGATGAAAAGACAGCTAGAATGGGGGTAGTAGAATGTTATAAACATGATGTCATGCAACCATTCAATGTACTCTATGAAAAAGAAGGTCAGTGTAACTTGAAAGTTTGCAGGGTTGAGGCAATGATATTGAGACACTGTGTATTACAGGCTGTGCATATTAATAGTTCCTGAAGGGAGGAAATAAAGCGAAAACATTTTATGTAATACAGGTCATGATAACCTGGCCGCGTATTCTTAAAATGATCCTAACGCTAGGAAGTCCTAGGGTCTGAACTTCTAACACTGTTTCTATAATACCTTGCCGTTAATAATAGGGGGCAGATTCCTAAATCCATTTCAATGGTTGACGTAGCTAATGATTTAGAAGGTTGATAACTATTGACAACTACAACATGTCATTGGAGTAAATGCCCTTTCATATAGGCTGTCTGCATTGGTTATATATTTTGTAAAATAACAAGAAAGGCTTATTGAGTCTAATTTTATTAAGTTATTATTTACCTGGATCTTTCAATATTCATAAAGCTTATAAATATTATATATTTACAGGAGAAGTGGTAGCTCAGTTTAAATTTACAGTTATATTAATGCCTAATGGTACAGTACAACTAACAGAATTACCCTTTGATATATCATTATATGAGAGTGAACATTCTATTCAGGATGAGGAAACTAAGGTATTTAACAATATTCAATCTATTTAATGCTGAGTTTGGTTAGTAGTAACACTGACCTAGAAATCAAGGAGAATCCTAATAGATCCTCACATTGACAGTCTGCAAGAGACTTCTTAATCATAGAACTGTAACTACATAAAGATATTACAGTTCTATGGTAGGATGTTGTACCTAAAATTTAAATACAATGACATGTAAATGGCTTACCTATACTTGATGTCCTTTACAGGGTATTGACCGTTGGTCATTTAAGCTGCCTTGCGGGTCATGTTTCGTGATGTTGCTACAAATCCATCCAATCCGATAAATAGATTAATCTTCTATGTCAAATAGCAACATGTGTTACTGTGCAAGGAGAATATGCAAGTCTTAGCCAAGATCTTAAATCTAACATTGTGTTATATTCTTTCAGAAAATATTGGCCACAGATGTATTTGTAAAATCAAAGAAAAATATGAAGAAGGCTGCTGATGCTGCAGCTCAAGAAGCTGAAGCAGCTGCCGTGACCAAAACACCAGCTGATTCCAACAAAGAAGCTGTGACAACAACAGCTGAAGCCATCAAAGCAGCTGGGGATAAGGCATCCAATTAAACTGACCAACAGCGTTTTTAAATAAAGTTATTTTTTGGGGGTGGATGGTTTGTTAGAGTTGTTAAGTGAAGACATTTTAGGGAGGGAAAGAATTTGTTATTGTAATCAGAAAGTGCTAGCATAGATTCAAAATATTGTCAGAATTCATTTTTCTTCAGGAAAATTATTATTTCCTTTTTTTTCTGTTTCTATACAGTGAGGCCTTTTTATTCAAAAAAAAATTTGGCTGAGAACTTGAAATTGTAGAAATAACTTTATGCATTAGATTCAGACCAGTTAAAATTCCGAAAGTTCCGAAAAGCTGGCTAAGTTCATTAACAGTTGATGACATTTAAGAATTGGGTTTGAAATATACAAGTAATTTACCATCGACTTTAAATGAACTATGTTCAGCTTTAATGGAGAGAAACTTCCAGGTTAAATTCTCAATTATTTTTGTATAAAATGGAGTGAGTAGCATTGCAAGGCTTGAGTGGTAACCTGTTATAAAGATATGTGCAAATATTGACATTGTCCATTGTTACAAACTAACTAGATTAATCAGTTCTATTACCATTTCTATCAACAGCAAGAGTTGGGTTTTGTTTCACAAAAATTTCAGTCTTTCAGTATTAACATTGTTCTAAATTCTATTTGCATGAAGCAAAAAACATATATAGTACCATTTCAATTTAATCTATATTACTCAAATTGATAATTGATGTAAAGAAAGTATGTTCTCTTCCTGTGAACTTAGTCATTTCTTCTATTGGAGAGCCTCTTCTATAACACCCAACACAAAAAATCTTTTGATCAATTTTGTGGTATAATGATAATTCTAAATTAAAACCTATGACTAATTTTTTTGTGAAACCGGGCTCAGCATTGAAATTCAAAAATTTACTGTTACCAACACAGTCCTGTATACTTAATAAATGTTAATTGCTTCTAGAACGCATTCAGGTTTGTGCTGTAATATGGCTATTGGAATGAAGAATGTTCGTTTATATACAGAAATGAAATAAAAAGTTATTGAAATTTGAAATGTATGTCTTGTATAGCCCAGATCTTCTCTTCATGTATAAAGGAGAATACTACTATATAGAAGTAGAAATATTTTTATATCGCTTTACAATTGATGTATTGAGGGCTATTTTAACAGTGAAAATAATATTTTGTACTGTATAAAAGTATAGGATGTTGATTTGAAGGCCCCGTCATATTAGAGAAAACCTAATGCCCTTGTTTTCAAACAGATTAATTCCCAGTCCAGATTCCATGAAATCTATGTATGTTCATTATGAATTTGGATGGCGTATCATGTGTACATCAGAATGCAATAAAAAAGGTCCTACAGATTTGATATTTTGTCAATTCTGTAATGGTTTTAAGCCACTCTGACTGTGGTACTTCCACTGTACAAAATTTCGTAAATCAACACATACAAAAGCAGACACAGTAACTACCCAGCTGTAGGTCAAGCAAATTGCTGATGTAGTTAGCTATATTCAATACAGGAAAAAAATCACAGAATCACAGTCCTTGCAATTTAATCACACATTAGGCATATTTGAAATATGTTCGGCTGATACCTTCGTGAGCATGAAATTTAACAGTTCTTGCTCCGTTAAGACAATCGCATGGACACTTAAAGATGACTGCTGGCCAGAGCCATGTTTCTGCCTTGAGAGAACACAGTAATGAATTCGTCCTGTTGAGCATGTTCTACTACTACACAGCTTTAAGCGTACTCAATAAAATCTACCAGTTGAATACATCTATTAATGCCAATCAAGTACAAGAAATGACCCATCAACTAAACCGTCAAACCTTAGCACTAAAACCCCCTGACGTCTCCCTTCTGCCCTGGAGAAAAGTAGACAAATTGATAGTGTGAAACAACTACTTACTATGTCAAGGCCATATGTCAAAAGATGGCTGGCATATATTTATATAGTGTTATTCAGCTCCTTACATAATAAGTTTTAGTTTGTTCCACAGAGATAGACCCTGATAAATTGGTTGCTGAAAGTGTAGGATTCGTGTTATTGTTTACCTGTATATTGCCACGCCCACTCTAGATAAACTGAAAGTAGTTGCGCGTGCGATTTCCAGCCAAAATTTGATTACTTCCGGTTATAGATATTTCTTTTTATAGTAACGTTTATTAATGGAGTAGTTCTGCAGGTCTAGTACAAATATACACAGTTTTCATCTATTTTCGCCGTTTTTCACCATGCCACCGCCTGCGAAACCGGAGGAGAAGCCTGCCGAATCAAAGGCTAAGCGAACGGCTGTTTTAGAAGACACTTTATTGTTTAATGCAGTGAAAAATTACTTCAAATATGCAGGTGTTGTCCTCGGTGTGTGGGGATTCGGATATTTTTCGTTCAGTCCCAGTTGGTTATTACTCGGGCTTGTTCTGTTTATTTGGAAAGAAAAGAACAAGACATCACAAAAATTACAAATTGCAATTTCTCAAGAAGCTGCCAAAGATGAAAGAGCTGCGATTCTTGCCAGAGTAGAAGATTTGCCGTCCTGGGTAAGGCATCATAAACAATTGTTGTTGTTATTTGTTAAGCCAAGCCCACCAAACCATGAATGATATTTTATGACTGGCCTACCACCTGTGGCCCTAGATTATGCATAACATTTGTTAATTTTAATGTTTGTTATAAAGATTTAATAGATATATTGGCTACTGTACTGTAAGTAACTTAATAGATCATAGGAGAAAAATTGTATGCAGTCTTTAGACATTTTAAAGTCTTTACTTGATTTCAAATATCACCTAATTATGTGAAGGATTATCCAAAAACTAATGATTTTCTTACTGCTCTGGTATATAATTTAATGTAAGTAGGCCTACAGACCTTTAGAAAGCTTAATATTATGCAGGAATTTACATGCATGAACAAAATATTTGATATCTATAAATAATTAATAATAAATGAATAAAATGATATGAATATTGTGTTCACTGTATTGGGTAAATTCAAGGTCACTGTATAATAGATAGGGTAATAGTATAAAACCTATTCAATATCAGTTATCAATGCACTTATTGCTATTTCCTCTACATTTTAAAAATACAAGTGGACCTAATGAGTTATTTTTATCTCAACTCATTGCTATTTCCTGTTCCTTTGATATGAAATGAACAGTAGGCCTACTGTCCTACAGTCTAGAAAGGATATGCATTGCATTTTGCCACTTTATTTTTTGATGAAATGAGGTATCAACTACAAAGTAATAGGCTTACACAGAGTTCTACATAGCCCTTGATTAATAAAAATTCTTCCTTATGGAAAATAGTATTTAATATCATTGAGAAATTTGATTTCACAACTACAATTTTTTAAATTGATTTGGTCTCTTGTTTTTTTTTTTATTTAGGAAGTAAAACTCCATTCATTTCATTTTGTTTTTTTATAGATTTTTTGTTCTTGCCATTTTCTTTGACCTAGTAGGGAAATTTAATTGTTATTTAACATGATTAGTAAAAGTGTAAGAATGTCATAATGTTGAGTAAATCAATGATTGAGTGATAATACCAGGGCCTCTAGATAATCATCTATCAATTTAATCTTATATAGGATTATCTAATATTAGGTCTATATTAGAGTATAGGGTTCATTGTAATATACATTGAAATTAAACCATATTTTATATTAAAACCTTCAGTTTTGGTTTGATAGGTATTATAATGCAATAAACTTAAAATGCTAAACTTTAATAAGAAAATGATTAGATATCAGCTATTTTAGCACATGAGCCTATTAATTACATTTTAAAGGTGTCACCTTGCAGGGCTGCCCTTGATATTCTCTCTTAGCTCTCTGAAATTCAAGCAGAAGATATTAGATATTTTTCAAAGGTTCTGGTAATTCTGTAATGGTTCTCAAGTGGATATCTCAACCAGTATTTTTAATTTGGTATGGTATCTCTAGAGTTGATAATTTATTACTGTATCAGGAATGAGATATTAGATACTGTGTATATGTGGGTAGTAAGATGAAGCAGAATAGAAACATCAATCAATATACTACAGTATAGGACAATTACTGGTCTTACTTTAAACTTATATCTGTAATTTTCATGCCAGCCTAGGTCAACTTGATCTTTTGTCAGGACAGTTGAAATGAGACCATTTCAGGACAGTTCATTTAGCTGTTTGTGAAAACTTATGGCCATTGAAAACAATCTCTATTTTATGATAAAAAATTCCCACATTTGTATTCAGCAGCCTTTATAAATATGTCATGTGCTATCATTCTCTAAAACAATGGCCTTGAATATTTGTCTTGAGGGCATTTATTAACAAAATAGGCCATGAAATCTTACCTGGATAAAATTTTAACATCTTGCTCACTTAACTTTGACTTGGACGGTTGTGGTTGATTGATATAATTTTTTTTTATAAAATGGCATTATTTTAAGAAGGAAAGTGTTCTTTTCAGCAAATATTTTAGGAAATTTATTCACTTTCGTGTCAGGTCACATAAATGAAATATTAAACATGAGTCTTTATAAACACCACCCACACCCACTCTCCTTGTTTAAACCTAACTAGTCTAATATAACAAATAGTATATGGTAATTTAACTCTCAATATCTAGAGTGGCTGTTAATGTCAGACTTTATAGACTTATATTTCAAAATATTTAAAAGGTTATATCCTAGATAGATCCGATATCAGCAATATTCAAATTTGTAATTTTCACATATCGTACAATTCTGCATCAACCATTGTAGAAATAATTTCATTGACAAGTTTAAGGTGACATTTCCCAAATGTGTTTCACGTAACCAAATATCTGTAATTGTCTATCTGGGACTGGGACCTGACATCTAAGATATGGTCTTTAAGTTCATCCAACTACCTTAAAAATGAATTCTTATTAAACCTTTAAAATTCATATCTAGGTGTTGTTTATGTTGATCGTTTTTGTCAGTTATAATGCAATAATGTGGATTTATTTAGATTTGAGGAACTATCACAGATAGGGTCGTTCTCAAGTAGGGAACTATCAGTGTGGACCAAGGGTACAAATTGATATATTTGAATTAACCCTGATGTAGACAACTTAAAAGATATCAGGATATAATTTGATACATCCACTGTATAAATTAAAGGTTCCCTGCTCAAGAAGGAATCTATTTGCTCTACTATACAGAGACTCAATCTGTTATCTGAGCTATTATTAGTATTATTAGTGTATTATTGTACTTATTAAGTTATTTTGATTTATATTTTTTTAGGTGTTTTTCCCTGATGTAGAGAGAGCAGAATGGCTGAACAAGGTAAAGACATGTTTGTCATATATGTTTTATGATGTTCTTTATTTTGATGGAGTATATTATGACCTAAATAACCTATAACCTTTGACCTTTGATCTAAAGCGGGCACTCCTATGTCCAGTTAATTGTTAACACATTGCCTGTGGAAATGAAATCAAAAAATGATAAGAGACTTTCCTATCTATAGTACTCAGTACTTCATTTAATGGAACAATACCAATCTATATTGATTAATAGCTTCATGTGTCCAGTTACTGTAGATCTGAATCAATTAACTTATAATATATTCTTGCTAGAGACAGACATCTCTTCAGGTCATTAGTCAAGTCAAGTTTTTATGCTTATATTTTCAATATTCCTTGTATGCATTACTGTATATTTTTGAATATTACGTACATTTTTTACCCTCAAATTGACCCTAAGATTAACTAGATTTATTCGCAAGTTTGAGTAACTGTGTTCTGGCCAATGTCAAAGAACATTTTGATTGAATATGCATTAGCCTCAAAGGTTCATCTGTGTGCTTGTCCTATGTGGAAAGATAACCTCAGATATCTTACAAATAGGGTCAAATCAACAGTTCAAATTTTAGTAATACAACATTTATGGGGGGAACTATTGAATAAAGCTACACTTGGACCCAGTAAAGTGCTCAGTAACATCATATTGGGTCAGAAAACATCAGGAAGCTGTAGTCTTATCTGTTACATTATTTTCTAGATGATACAACAGCTATGGCCATACATTGGAGATTATGTAAAAGACCTACTACACAAGTCTATAGAACCAGCTGTCAAGAAAAGTTTGCCAGTCGCTCTAGCAGCCTCTTTTCGATTTTCCCAGATTGATCTAGGTGATATTGTAAGTTTACTGGAACTTAATTCCTGATCTCTCTAATTATTGATGTCTTATCCTTGAGCCAGTTAACTGTCAATCAACATTAATATTGTCCTATACCTACATCGTAATTACCAGTGTTATATTAGTACTCTCAACTTCAACAGAATCACTTTTACAGAATAATTTGTTCGGATTAATCTTATTTTTGAAAAGTAGTCTTACCATCCCCCTCCTATGTCACTATTAACTTTACTTGTTTTTTAGCCTCCAAGAATTGGTGGTATTAAAGTTTATACTGAAAATGTTAGAAGAGATGAGATTTATATGGATTTAGAGATAATGTAAGTTAAGTTTTCAATCTTCCTGAATTTTAGTCCTGTTCTGAAATATTGTGTCTCCAGATCAGACTCTTTGCAGATTTTGTCAGAATATTTCAAGTAAGTCCAGTAGATAACCAAGAGCTATATAATTTGTTTTCTATTATATATGATAGATATAGCAGTGATTCTGAGATTACAGTACAAGCTAAAGGTATCAATGCTGGTATTAAAGATTTACAGGTTGGTTTAATATCATTATTTATCTTTTATACTATAATAATTATAGGAGTTCAGATGTCATTTACCTTTTTAAGTGCAATCTGTGACAGTTGTTATCAGTAAGGCTTTCAGTATGGAATAATTTCAGATGCCTGAAGATCTTTTCTTGTCAAACTTCAGTAGAGGTACAGACTGAAAGTGTTTAATTGATGAATGAATGAATTAATTAAGTCTAATTGTTTGTAATTTGTAGATTCATGGTACCATGAGAGTTATATTTAAACCTTTGATTAGTAGAATACCATTGTTTGGTGGACTGAGTGTTTTCTTCTTGAATAACCCTGTAAGTAGAATATCCTTGATTTGTATGAAAATTGATATCAATTTGCTGCTACATGAGAGACACCTCATCTATCTCAGAATATATTCACATACCTTCAATTTATTGCTGACCTGATCAATTTTAGTTTTGTAAATATTTATTATGAAAATCTTTCTTTTATTTTAGACTGTGGATTTTAATTTGACAAGTTTAGCTAATGCTTTTGATTTGCCTGGATTGAGGTAAGTGTTTCCTTTATCATTATTATTAAACAGCAGAATAGATGTTCATAACCTTTCCTTAACCATGTGTCACAAGTCAGTTTCAACATTTAACCCACATATATATTTATCTTACAGTGACATGTTGAAGAATATAGTTCAAGAACAAATAGCTAATATTATGGTCTTACCTAATCGTATACCTGTTTCCATGGTGAAAGGTTTAGATTTGAATAAACTCCGCTACCCTCAACCCCAGGGTGTGTTAAGAATTAATATTATTGAAGCCAAGGAACTGAAGAAAGCTGATATTGGTATTACTGGCAAGGGAAAGTCAGACCCTTATGTTATCTGTTCTGGTAGGTATTATTGTTAATCACTGAATGATTCACCATGAGTCTTTAGAGGATTTCTAGGGGTTTGGTCTGGATGGAGGTAGAGCTTGGGGTTAAAAGGGCTGGATTGTGGAATCTGACTAATTTCTTAACTTGGGCTTGAAGGGGACTTGAACCCCTGGCATCTACTTGCTGAACAGATGACAATCGAACTCACTACTGATTGACTCTTAGACTGCCTAACCTATTTTTGTGTCAATATTATGGAAATCAAAAAAAAGAAGGCTATCATAATTGTGAAAAATTTTCCTTGCATCATCGGTCTTTATAGCCAAATGTGAAGCATCCTGTAAAAACTGTATTGTATTCCTGTTATTTTCAGTTGGAGCTCAGAAGTTTCAGACTAAAGTAATAGATAATACTGTAGAACCTGTTTGGAATGAGGACTACGAGGTGAGATCCCTTGACTCTTGACCCTAAAACCTTGATCCTTGTTGATAATGTCTTCTGATTTCTAATGATCATTCTGGTCCTGTGATTACCTTGAGTTTTTGAAGACAATGCATCTTTGATCATCACCAGAAAAACTTGGTCAGAGGCTTTAAAAAGTTTGCAAAGAAAGTAAAACCATTTAATAAAACCATTTGGATCCTGTGTACCTGCTGGTCCTTGTCCAAACCTTTTCCCATTGATTCCAGTACCAGTTATTGAAGTATAACAGTCGGGGTTGTTTGTAAGAATTTGACAGCATTCGCTTGGTTAAACCAAACAAATGGTTGTCATAGGTTCAAGTCATGGTTGGCATGTGTGAAAGTCTGGTTGCTTGTGCATTGATATCAGAGTATTATATTTGTCAAACTGCAGAAAGAACACTAAGCTGATATAGTCCAATGTTCTGAAGATCAATGAACATGGAACTCATATTTTATGTTTTATTTGAATAATCTATTAAGATTTTTACTCTATTGTAGGCTATTGTAGATGTAGCAGACGGACAGTTACTAACTCTAGATGTCAATGACAGAGATCCTGGTAATGATGATGATCATTTGGGAGGGTGAGTTATTTCCCTTATCAATTATTTGAAGACTCATTTGATGATTTCTGCTCGTTCTTGGAATCAGGTTCAGAATACATTCTATGTGCACCAAAAAAAAGAGGTACACAGACTTCAAAATGGTAGTTAAAGGAATTAAAAGGTAGATTCTATATGTGACATTTCCTGTTTGGTACCATTCTATTAATGTCTGAATTGGAACACACAAAACCTTAATGAATGAATTGTGTTAATTATAATTTCAGATTATCAGTAGATATCAGTCAAGCTAAATCACAAGGTATTGTTGATGAGGTAAGCTTAATTTGTCTTATTATTACCAAGTGCTATTGGTTACCAATGTTGTCACCAGAATTATTTCTATCTACCCTTTGTAATTTGTCCATGCTCTTTATTATTACCACGTGCCGTTATTTCCATGTGCTATTATATCTAAGTGTTGTTATTTCCATGTGTTATTAATTATATCTATGTGCTGTTATTTCTATGTGCTGTTATATCTATGTGCTGTTATATCTATGTGCTGTTATTTCCAGTGGCTGCCATTAGAAGATGTAAAGAAGGGAATGGTACATATCAAACTAACATGGCTCTACCTAGCTAATGATCCACTAGAACTAGATAGGGTAAGTAATTATTACTGATTATTAGTAACTTATATTAAAACTACTGCTAAGAAAGTTATTACCAGTAAAACAGAGTCTTGTTCATGCTGAGATTCCGAGGGTCACGGTCACCCAATAGAAACTAAACAATACACAATTATAGCTCAGTTATAACTTTGTTATCAAGCACTTAAATCACTCAGCTTAATTGATTCTAGATGAACATTGATCTCGATGGATATTGGAGTCGCAAATGATTTAGGAAAACTTAATAAAATGATCCAAATATGCAATCACATTCTTGCTCTAATTTATTAAACTTTTGAGTGAAAATGTTCAAGTTAAATGAAATTTCTTTTGATGACACTGCTGTATAAGTTTAGATTGGTATATAATGTATTCATATATAGATTTTGTATTTCTTATTCTGAAAAGTTCATCATGTAGCTGAAATTGAGCTTTATCAGATAGTAAAAAATATGTATTGAGATGCCTTGTTAATATTTTGCGGAATTGATCCTGGGACAGAAGTAAATCTGTCACAACTCCTACTGGTAAAGGGAGATAAGTCTCTCTGATGCTATATGTTGATCTAATCATTGTGTGTTTATAAATGATAGGATATTAGCTGCTTTAGTTTAGTTAGCTTACTTGTCAAAAACCTCTGTCCATTGTTGATGACAAATGCTGTTGAAATAAAACTATAGTTACAATATTATGGGATAGATTTTATAGACCTATCTGTTTGATATTTTATCAGGAAAGAAAGAGACACAGGAAAAATCAGGTTAAGATTAGTTAAATTTTGAGTTTATGTTTTGAATTTTGAGTGTATTTTTTGAATTTTGAGTGAAATAATACAAACACTATCACCCGCCATCATTATGTCATTGTCATAGCAGCATATCAAATCTCCTATCCTGTATATAAGAAATATCTTGGGCTTTAGTCAAAAATCATTTTGACAAGGCAGATTTTCTTTTCTTGAAGATTATCAAAGGACTTACAAAACGAATTCTTTTCAATGTTCAATTGTTAATTCTGTCTTTGCTAAATACTGTATATTATATAAAATGTACTTATTGTTTCACCTTGTTTTCTTGTTGTTATACAATTTAACCTTGATCTCCAGGTTTCAAAGGTCAAAATTGATAGGAAACTCAGTAATGTAGTTTGAAAACCCAAGTCTCAATCCTGAACTGAGATGTCAAATTAACATTACATTTCTTTGAAAAGACTAAGAATCTTTCCAATATAATAACTCATCATCATCTGCTTTTCACAACCGAAAAAGTCCCTTCATACTGGAATTGAAAATTACGATCTGATAAAACTTCACTTAGATATTTTGTGTTCTTTCTTTGGGTGACTTCACTTGCCATCTGAGATCTGAGTTAACTTTTATGCAACAATTGTTCAAGGTCACAAAGGTATTCA